CTGGAACCCAAAGATGCTGATTGGAGGTAGAGAAGTAGACAAAGAGGGTAGAAACCTGGTGCTGAATGAGGCTCCATCACTAAGTAAGTTGCTAACTTTAATGATCCATCTGAGTTTTCCAGTGACTCAGTTTCCCTAACTAATCTCATAAACACAAGGACAGATGCAGCTTTCCCTGGAACTTCAGACATGGAAAGTGAGTGGATGCTACATTGTCATGCATCTGAGCACTCTGATCACACTTGCCTTCCCTTTACACAGCGAGGGTCATTTCAATGTGCTTTCACGGCCATTATCTCATGTAGTGCTCACGAGTCTGTCAGTCAACCAAGGCAAATGATGATGACAGTGAAGATGACCATGAAGGTAGCCAACATTTATAGTATGCTCATTCAATGCCACTCACTGTACTAAACATCTTCCTTGATTTCTTTAATAATCCCTTGAGGCACACAAATTTACTGTCTCCATTTTAAAGTTGAGAAAGCTGAAGCTTAGAAGGAATAAGCAAATTTCTTGAAAATATACACTTAGTAATGGCCTGAAACAGGTTCTCAATTTGGGTAGTTAATTGACACCATGATCAATTAACCACTTCTGATGTGTATAAGCAAGGAATGAATAATGTCAGCATTTTTTTGTGTTAGATGAGAGGAAGGCCAAATCTAATCTGCCCATTATTTTGTAACTGAAATTTTATTGGAAAGTGAACCCATCCATTCATTTGGGTATTGTCTGTAGCAGAAATGAGGAGTTGACAGGGTGAATTCATGACTGTCAGAGCCTACATACCACTGGCTTGTGGCCTAGTCCTGCACTAGACTATTCAAATTTTCCTCTCCTCCTCCTCTTCTGACTTTCACTTTCCTTCTCCTCCTTTCTGCCTTAATTTCTCTCTTTTTCCAAGCCATAGAATAATAACATAAAAAATATGAAATGAAGGGAGATTGCTCTAATGTAGCACATTGGTTTTTTGAGACAGGTTCTCACTATGTAGTGAGACTGACCTGGAACTCACTATGTAGCTCAGGCTGGTCTCGAACTCACAGCGATCCTCCTGCCTCAACCTCCCGAATGCTGGGATTACAGGTGTGCGCTACCACACCCGGCTACATAGCATTGTTTTTATGGATGTTTTACCAATGCCAAGTTGAGAAAGAAAGCAGTATTAAAAGAGCACGAGGTGAGTTTTATTGTAAGAACATTGCTAAAGTCTTAGCAAGGATAGAAAGTGATACCTAATCCTCATAATGTACTTATTATCCATCCACTCTGGTCCAGGCATATTATAAATGTTAAGACTTTTGCCCACCTGTAAAGTGGAGGGGATGAAATGACAGGAGTTAGATTAAATTCCTGTCCCTCTCAAACACGTCTTAAACTGCCTTTCTGAGAAATGCTCTGTCTCTAAGCAAAAGTAATACTTATACAAGTGCCATGGACAATCAAGGGTGCCCCTTTGAGGAGATTGGTTTCATAAAGTGGATTTGTAGGACAGACAAGTACTAGATCTTAGAAAACGTGTTTGGGTTCTTTAGGCCACAGTGAGGAGAATGAAAGAGCTCTGTATTCTTTTCTCATATATTTGACCAAAACAAAAAGAGAAAAATCCATCTAAAGGTCACCAGCAACCTGTGTAAGGACTCAGACAAGGAGTCGCAGTGTTACCTCCTGACCACTAGAGGACGGCATCCTGTTTCATCAGAGAAAGACTGGTGAGGGGCCTCTCTATGTCTGGGGAAGTTTGCTCATCTGTCCTTCGCATAATTTCATCCAGTGTGTTATATGTGGTTGCTTCTTAAAATGTTCAGTATCAGAGATTATCTACGACACATGGATAGAGTGCTGGATTGCTAAGTTCCCCTCCATTCTGCTTGGTTTTGAAGTCAAGAGGGTCTTTATGGTAAGCACAAAACATTCTTTGCAACTTTTACCAGTTGTATCCTCCTGAAAAACACAGAAGTGCCTTTCAAGGAGCCTCCCCTCTTCAGGGAGAAGACATATTTAACTATCTCTTGGATAAGTATTCTAAGTATCTTTCAAATATATATTTTTGTTTTTTATTAAGTTTATTGGTACTATTTAGATATAAATAATGATCATATTTATCATAGGGAATTTGTACCAGTACATAGTATATCTTGATTCTTCTTTTTTCCAATTCCCCTCCCCTCCCTTCAACCCCTCCTCCCCTCCTTATTTTCAAAATTTTGTTTCCATTTTATCCTTCTTCTCTCTCTCTCTCTCTCTCTCTCTCTCTCTCTCTCTCTCTCTCTCTGTCTCTCTTTTGGTACTGGGGATCGAACTCAGGTTCTTGTGCTTGCGAGGCAGGTGGTGGAACCACTGAGCTAAATCTCTGGTCCCTTTTCTCATTTTTGCCTTTTCCCTCCCTAGTTTCCTTTCCTTTTGAACAATTTTTTCCCATCAAGTATCTTTCAAATATTAACTTGTTTGATGCTCATATTCACTCTATGAAACAGGTACTCTTATCAGATCCATTTTATAGATGAGCAAACTGAGACACAGAACTTGCTGAGGGTCATGCACCTATTAAGTGTTTGGGTTTGAACCCAGGCAATTGAGCTCCATAGCTCATTCCTTTGACTAGCACATTCTGCTAGGCTGCATCCCAGGAGAGGGGTCAGATAAGCAATGACATAGTTTTAAAAACATTTTAACCCATTTTTCATTATATGTACATAACAGAAAATTTGGAAAGTGAAAGAAGAATAAAAAGTTATCCACAATCTTAACCACTCCACCACAATTACAGTAAGCATTCTAGTGTTTTTGCTTTCATTTTTATGTGCATATATGTGTCATTTCATATCTTTGTGCATGCAATTTGTATACTGCTTTTCCACTTAACATACAATGTCCTAATGTTATTACATAATTTTCACAACCACTATTTTAAAGATTTCCAGAATGTGTGTCTGTGGTGACATAATAAAAGATCTAGGGTGACTGTTAGACAAGAATGTCCCAAGAACGAAGAGATCAGTACAGTTAAGTCAGAGATGCAAAGAAAGGCCACCGGAGGACCTCTGGCCTGGAGTGATGACAGCAAAGTTCACCGCCCAATACTGTCGTGGCACCATCACCCACATGGCACTGAGCTAGGAGGAAGCAATTGGCAACCCAGTGCTGCATGGCATTTTGGAACTGGAAAAAGCTCTATAAGGTGACAACATGTGGTGAAGACTTGGTACAGAAAGGCAGGGGCTTATGCTATGTATGTTAGGAGTATAGCTTCTGCCCCAGAGGGACTGCAGTTAGAAGGTGTAAGCACACTTCCATCTCTGTGTGACCATGGACACATCAGTTCATTTCTCTGAGTATGTTTTCTTAACTTGTGGGAATAATGACAGGTCCCGTGGAGGGTAATAGAAAAAAAGAAATATATGATGTGTGAGGAATACTTTTGGCTCAAAGTAAGGGCAAGCTTGATTTGTAGCAGCTCAAGCAATGAAGACTTTTGACTAGCTCACATCAGCTGAGGGTCTTCTCTGGGGGTGTTAACAACTCCAGGGGCCAAGTAAACTAACCTAGGAAGAGAACAGCTGGGTAAACATCCCTATATTTGAATAGGCCTGGGCAGAGGGATGCTCTATATGGATGCTGAAGGACTGAGCTCCATCTGTCTGAAACTATAACCCACCCATTACCTGCTCTCCTATTTGTGTCTCACTTCTCCTTTTTTTTGTTTTCTGGGATAACTTCTTAAACTAGTTATCTCTTGGTAACCCACAGTTCCACACCTGTGGATCCAACTAACTATGGATAAAACACACTTTAAAAAAAAAACCGCATCTCAAAATCTTGTTTTCTTGTCATTATTCCCTAAATGATATAGTATAACAACTTTTTACATAACATTTACCTTTTACTAGGCACCATAATTCATCTAGACATGATTTAAAGTATACAGAGGAATGTATGTAGGTTATTTGAAGATATTATGCCATTTTATATAAAGGATTTGATTATTCATGGAGTGTATGGTATCCGTGGGGGCCCTGGAACCAATCTTCTGTGGATACCGAGGAACAACTATACTTGTTGCTATGGACGCCTGATTTACACAAGATTTATGTGTGATTTTGGACGTTGGAGTTGATGCTGGAACCAGTTAAGTCTTTTGGGACAACTGGAATGGAATGAACATAGTTTGGATGTGAAAATATAATTTTGGAGGGCCAGGGTGGAATTGTTAGGTAGTAGATATTTGTGTATTCCTTAAATACATGTTGAGGCCCTGACCTTCAATGTTATGGCATTTGGAGGTAGTTCTTTTGGGAGGTGATTACAGTTACATGACATTATAAAGATGAGGTCCCCAAGGTGAGGTTAATGTGTTTAGAAGAAGAAAGAGGAGGAGGAAAAGGAGAAGGGGAAGGGGGAGAAGAAGAAGAAATATCAGAGAGCATTCCTCCTCCTCCTCCTCCTCCTCCTCCTTCTTCCTCCTCCTCCTCCCCCCCTCCTTCTTCTCCCC